TTATTGCGTGTCACGGACGACCTTGTGCACCGTTGCTGCGTTCCAGTACGAGAGTTCCCTTTCAGGAAGAGGATACTTTCTAGATGCAATGGAGTCATGGTTGGTGGTGCATACCAACTACTGCCTTCGCTTGACTAAAGAATCTCTCGACGACGTTCGAAGTCGGAGCGATCACAGCTACCTGATCGTTAAAGCGTGAAGTAGCTTGAGGAAGCCGTCTCGCACGCTCGAGCGTAACAGCGGCGAAACCTTCATCGAGCGACGTTGTCTCCGAAGAACTCGAGAGTGGGGCGGCCAGCGGCTCCAGCACTGCCTTTGTGTTCGTCACTCAGCGCGCCTTCACGACCCAACAGCACACTCACACAAGCTCGTTCGAAAGCAGGGCTTTTGACGATCGCTGCATCAGCAGCGAGGTAGTGGGCGACTTCTGGCTTCTGTGCAATGAGCGCGTCAAAGAGGTCGCGGACGTCGAGTAGTGTTACCGCGTCTGCACTTTGCAGCTTCTTCGAGGTTGACTCGAACATCTTGAGATTGCCGAGGATCGACTTCAGCTGCTCCTCCTCTCGCCGGGTTGGCAGAAGCCCAGTTAGCTCGTCCTCGTCGTCGTCACTAAGAAACGCCTTCAGCTCGAAGTATCTGTTAACTATAGCAAAAGTAGATGACCAGCGAGTGTCCTGTCTAGGAACAGGTCGAAGGAGCGTTTTTTTTTACTAGCACAAAATAAGCATATTACATTTTAGAACACACATAATCATAGATTTAACTCACCGTAATTTTGCAGACACCAGCAGCGAATTTTTCACCTTGTAGATCAACTTCTGTACCTTATCGAGTAGCTTGTCGTCGTCAGCGAGAAGTAAGTTCACCGCTAGGTTCAGACGATGGCTGGTGCAGCCCACCATCGGAACCTGCAGCTGATCAGCGACAGCACCGTTCACGGAGCAATTATCTCCGACAATGTAAGCGATACTGGCTTTGTTCCGGCCATAGTAGGAAAGAATGACGTCCAGGAACTTGACGTGGCTGCTGCAGTGTGGTCGCTGATCTTATTATCAATAATTGGCACCATAGCGATCAGAATGTTCTGCATCTTGCCGTCGTGGCGAAACGACGCAAAGACTGCGACATAATGCTCCGACCGG